GAAAATCAGTAAACGGTAAACATTTTCGTATTTTAACAGCAACAATAAGCAACCTTTTCGTATTTTAACGGTAAGTCTTTGAAAAGTGTTGTGAAACGATAAACAGTATATTTTCACGACTAACGGTAACCGAAATTGAGTGAATCACGACTCACGATATACCCCATCAACACCCTCATAAAGGGGAGACGTCGAGTCGAATCTAAGAATGGTCCGACCGATCGTGAGATGCATGCATATCATGATATCATTCGTCAAGTTAGCACAAGTGTACCGTGTGGAAATGTTTCAGACATGAAGTCAAAATATACTAGAAAGATGTGCGGTTCTAATTTTTTTCTATAAGTTTGAATTATGACTACAATTTGCTATAAAACCAAGTTTTTGTATAGAGTATTTTTTCATCTCAATTTATATTGTCGTAGCGACTGATATGTCTGAATGTAATGACGTTTGAGATTATAACAAATATTTCTTTCATTGAAATACTGCCGAATTGGAGAAATCCTTGCCTTGTTCCAGCGTCCTTGCATATAAGATTTAAATATAAAATATGACTTTAGATAAGAGATTGCTGGCATTTACGAGAGATAAATGGATAGGGAATTAAGATGTTTTTACTTTTTTACTGCATCTTATACTCTCACCTTATAAGGCTCATTTTCTGAAGAGTTGCGTAATGCGAACGGGTTTGGTCCACATCTCTAATTCATCCAATATATACAGCATTACTGTCGTTGCAATGAAAGTATTGATAAAATATCGCATCAATTCATTACTTAGAATTGATCAATTCGTTCGTTGAAAAATTGGTCAACTTCCTGTGTGTTTCAATCAACCAGTGGCTTTGCGTTTCAGTGACTGATTGACCAATTGGGAGTAAACAGGAAGTTAGCCAGTAAACAGGAAGGTGAACAATTTTTGATCAAATGAATTGATCAATGTTAGGTATTGAATTGTTGCAATATTTTATCAACACTTCTATTGCAACGACAGTGAAAACTGTGTAAAATAAGAACAACATGTTTGGCATTTGAAAGATACATATACAACAATGCTTTTGTAATAATTACGATGCTAGACTTTTTTCAATATTTTATCATTGTCCTGAGCTCATTTCACTCTGCGATTTTTGGGGAAATTTCAGGATGATCTTATTTAATGACAAACATTTTCAAACATTTTTGTGGAATGTAGAGTGATCTTAAATCAGCCACACGAATCGCAATGTGTAACGTGGGCTCAGCTTTGAAGAAATTTTGTATTCTATACGAAGAAACATATTGATTAAGGTCCTGAAGTTTCGGAAGTCTCATATTCTTAGTAGTGGTCGCTGTTTAGAAAAACTAAACATGAAAATTATGTATTTTGAAAACCACTGACTCGTCACTTAACGTACGAAACAGTTTTTCGAGTTGTTATATCCTAATAGGGTCACATAACATGCATGTTAAAAATACACGTTAGGTGCTTAAAAATGAAGGCATAACGAACGAAAAAATTGTAAAAGGTTTTGCATTTGCATTTAATATATAAAGTTCTTTCAAATGGGTCAAACTTGTATTTTTTAAGCCCCGTACAGGCGGGCAAGTTCTCCGGACCTTGTCGAGTTCACGACGACTATGCACGTGTTTTCAATCGATTTTTTAACAAGTTTTGCCAGCCCGCGCTATTTAAGTACGTAAACAATCTAAAAACAGCTGAAACTGTCTACGTTCCACACTTTAAAGGTGAATTTCAAAACGACATTAAATGAACACCGCGGAAACATGTCTGCGCATGCGTCTACCTTACTTGTAATAGTATTGCGAACTTGATGAGAAGCTGTTCCGAACGTTTCCGAAGGCTCAAAATGGCGGTAAAAAGGAGTGAATTCATTGTGCGTCTTTACAGCCAGATTTCGAGCGCAAAAATAAACATGTCATTCTAAAAACTAGGAATAAATACAGCCAGAAGGTTCAAGGAAATTGTATTGTACAAGAACATGAACTAAAGGTGATTGTTGACAAATTTATCGTCTGAAACATTTTGTTTGTCAACTAAGCAATGATAATTTCCGAATTTTCGTTTGAGATACATTTCTTTAAAAAAAACTGTGTCGCCAAATATAACAAATTTTCGTGTTCACAATAATTAAACTTTAGAATTTATTCTACAATTAGAGTTGGTTAAGAAGCTTAACTTTTCGAGAGTTTTCGTAACTTTTGAGTTTCGTCGTGTCCGTTAAAATGAACAATTTTTTACATGAATTATATTTCATATCATACTTTAAATGCCAGGACGCTTTCAATTAATGTCTAGTCTACCCATTTGCTATATTTTCTCGTTTGTTTTACTAATTTTTGACCAATTAATAAGCATGTTTTTGTTTTAGAAATTGATATTCAAATTCCCCGCCATATTTTCATAATTTGGTGCATGCGCAGACGTTTTTCCGCGGTGTTCATTAAATGGCAATGGTCGCTTGAAGATGAGTGCGGAGTAACGTACTGCGCAAGTACTTGACAAGATTTCTCTGACGGCCGTACACGGTACACAATTTTTCATGTTCAGAAGTTGGCAAGACTACATTTTGAACAAGGCCGCTTGTCAAGGAAAAGTTGCTTTGGATTTTTCCCGTTCACACGAACAAATAAATTTTGCCAAGGAAAACTTGTTCTCCTGTACGAGGCTTTATTCTTGATTATTCTGTTATTTACTTAAACATTGTCACGACTTAGTTTGTGGATTGTTTTTGTACCGAAATTTACGTGAAATAATTTTGTAAATAATAAAATCATAACTTAATTTCCCCAACGTTTATATAATAATTGTATAGATTATATTAATTTGAATAACATGAATATCAAAGCTTGGAAAAACATAAAATGCACTTGTTAGACATGAGAGACGTGTACTTTTAAGCTTTGAAAAATGAGATACAGTAATGTTGGCCGGGTTTAATATAATCTAAGAATTCGATAATATACAGTTTTAGTATTAAGAAAATGCCTATAAGCAAAAATATGTTATTTTTAGTTAAGTATAATTTGATTACAATTTTACAATATTAGCTACAAATATTTGTCGAAATTAACTTAGTCTTTTAAATATTCTTTAAGAGGGTAGCAGTTCGGACGACTAAAACTGTAGAATGTAATGTGTGCGTAGAGCAGTTGCAAAAAAATTCAACTATACATTGATGGGGCTGAAAGTTTTGTTTTCAAGCCCTACCCCTCCATGTCAACCTCCCGGCCCATATGTTCTTTATATCATCCCATTTACCCAGCTATTTTTAGACCGGTTCTCAGCCCAGCTATGAAATTGAAATTGAGAGAGGAGATAGTGAGAGTCTGTGTGACAACATTCAGTACGCAATTCTGCGTGTGTACTGTTTAGAACTATAGTTTTACTGTTTGAGTGAAAAGTGCGAAGGTGAAAAAGTTTGAAGTGACGCTTGTGCTGCCATATTTCGTGCTCGAATAAGGTTAGTGCAGAATACCAAGAAATTCTAAAATACCAACGAATTTAATCTATTTTCGTGGAGTACTGTTCAAAATTCATCAAATGCGTGTTGATGAAAATATTAAGGATATTAATTTAACGCCGTGGCTATTCGTACTGGAACAGTACGCCGACTTTGATTTGCTATTCGTCCGGCAGTCGTATATTTAAGATAAAGCTAACCCCAACTCCTTCTCTAACCCTAACCAATAAAGGTCTAATAAACTATTTGAGAGTCAAAAAAGTGGGGGGAAAAATTAAAAATATTTTAAGAAAAATTTCTAAGTCAACAGAAAACCCAACCTCGTTCCCAGGCTCTTCCCTATTTTTGAGGAAAGACCCTGGTCGGGGCTGGTCACGTGACCCCGCAGATTCTGCGTGGTAAACTGAATTGATCTCAGGGAGGGGTAGTAGAGGAGTCTGTTTGTTGCGTTTGGAAAATTGCAATTTTATGTGTTATAGTTTCGGGTGATACAAATGTAATTTGTAACAAGAAATCGTGAAAGGAACAATTTTAAATTCGTATTCATCATGACACGACTTCCTGCTATACCGGAATGTCATTAATAATAAGTGTTGCGGTATATTTCAAGCGAGAAGCTAGATCATATTTCACTTCCAGGGAAAGGACTTCACACGCGCCTGGCTGTCGAAGTTGAGCACGCATCGCCGTAGAAACATATATGTCTTCCCAATTCTATACCGACTGATCAATGAAACGATACTAAGTGAACGATATGGTTGTTTATGGTTGTGTATCCTGTCCGATATTCAACAAAGCCAAATGATTTATTTTATA